AGGTAAACTATCAACTCGGGAAACACGGAAAAATATTCATCCTCCAGGGTTTCGAATTCAGCTTTCATGCGCTGGTGCGTAAAATTTTTAACTGTTTTCCAGTGTTTGAACTATTTTTGCATAGACAAAAGTACAAAGCAGTGAAAATCATTAATAGGCAATCGTTCGATGGTAGAACTATTTTTGCATAGACTAAAATACAAGGAAGTGAAAATCATTAACAGGCAATCGTTCGATGGGTTGAACTGCACAAAGACGCATGATCGCACCGGCTAGTCTGGTGCGCGTTGCTATTTATTACAATTACTCGCATAAAACGCATGATCGCACCGGCCAGTCTGGTGCGCGTTGCTATTTATTATGCTCTTTGTGTTGTGTAATAGCTGCTGAAAATGTATATTGTCACTCCCCTGCCAACGTGTGTATGAGTGCATGTATTTGTGTATATGTATGTATGTATTATGTATATCCGAGTACGTTTTGCCCGGCTTTCAATTCAGAAATCAGACAAGCTAGGAAGCTGAAATTTTAGGCAATTATTTCCTTCTCACGTGCGACCACTCAACTTCAAATGAAACTTCCACGTACGCCTGGTCTCACGTGCGGATACATGAGGGCTTAGCGCCAAAATTATTAACTCGAAAGCCACGAGGGTTAGGGAGATGAAATTTCACGAGGGTATTCAATGTGTATGTTCATCTCAAATATTTCAAATTCATCTCTCATGTGCATCAGATCTCGTGTAAGGTACATGCTATTTTGGCGAGAAAACTACCAATTTGATGGCAGAAAAATTTAGCAAACTAAAATTTAAGGCGAATTTTGCATGGCACGTACCGCACAGAAAATTTTCGATTTAGCTTTTATGTGCGCCTATGACTAACCTGCCAGCGCATGCATTTTGGCGGAAAATTCCCCAACTCCGGAACCAGACAACGCAGAAAACCGAAATTTCAGAAGTATGTCGAGCCCATGCGCTACTCCAAAAATTTTAGTTCAATTTCCACTCACTCATCCCTAGATCTCACGTACGAAAAAATGTAAATTTTGACGAAACAGACGATTGCTGCACATACCAGGCAGCAAAGTAATGGACATATTTAACAGCAGACGTCTGCTAGAGAGAATCGCACAAAATACATGATCACACAGGTTATTCCGGTGTGTGCCGCATATACGCATATTGTCGCGGGGTTGTCTGTGTGTGTGTGTGTCCGCAGCAACTTGTCCGCAACTTTCAACTCAGGAACCACAAAAGCTGGGAAGCTGAAAATTTAGGGTAACGTTCTCCACTCACGTGTGGCCCCGCAAATTTAAATTCAGCTTCTCTGTACCGCGAGTAGCACGTATTTCCCCGTGAAATGTTTTTACGGGTAAATTAATATCTCGGGAAACATGGAGTCTAGGAGGCTGAAATTTTATGGTAATGACCCCTGCCGACGTCCAACCCTGCCCATTCAAATTCAGCGTTCCCGCACTGTTGAGTATCACCTATAGCCTCGTGAAAATTTTGGCGGGTAAACCATTAACTCGGGATAGAGATATTCACCCTTCAAGGTTTCGAATTCAGCTTTCATGCGCTGTTGCGTGAAATTTTTGACTGTTTTCCAGTGTTTGAACTATTTTTCCATAGACTAAAGTACAAAGCAGTGAAAATCATTGATAGGCAGTCGTTCGATGGCCTGAATTGCACAAAATGCATAATCGCACCGGCTAGTCTAGTGCGCGTTACTGTTTATTAGTACTACTGCTGGTTGAATGGTGCTTGCAATGAGGCATGATTTCCTCGTAGAATTTTAAATGACTTTTTGCATTTTCTGTTCCACATTTATATTCAAAAACTAGCTTTTCATTAATGGCTTGGATTTTTCTGTACTTTCTAAATTTCTTTTTTCTTTTTGTTAGATTTACAGTTCCGGGGCGTTGAACTGCTGTTTCCAAAGGAAATTACAACACAGAATTGTATGTTTAGGATTAAGCGACGGTCTGGTTAACATGTATGATCCACGACTGCCACCGAGATCTCGGCGTACGATGTCACTGCGGGAGCTGGAAGGGCCTGTTGTTGGATTGTCGCTTTTCTCAAATGTTCCCGGTCAGTCATCTGAAGGAGTTTTGAGGCTTGTTGCTGGTGCTAGAAATGGCGAGATACACTTGTGGGAACCAAGAATGTTCAAGGTGTGTTTTTTTTTTTTTTTGGGGTCATTACTGGATTTTGTCAGTTTGAGAAGCCATTTCATCATTGTGTTTTCTGCTGTCATTTTTGTTCTCTCTAGCTGAGAATGCATTGCATTCATTTGAACCGGAGTTTAAGCAAATTCCTCAGTTTCTTTTTCGTATGGCTACTATTCAAAATTCAGCTTTTCTCTGTTGTTTTCGTCACAGGACCAGTTTAGCTGCTCAAGAATGAACGGTAACGCCCACATTTAGCATTCTGAAAAGCATCTGTGTTGCATTTGCCATTACAACGAGCAAAAGGCAACGGCATGTGGGCTGTTTCGTGTTGGAGTATAACATCCGGTCCCGCTACGATTTGTTCACTTGTTTTATTAGTAAAATTGGTATTGGAAAATCCCAAGGAAGTAGCGCTAGCTGCTTGCTTTTAAGCAATTTTTGGGAGATGCAAGCATCAGCAGTAGTTGATTGCTATTGTTTCAGAGCCTCGCAACGTCTCATAAAGAAAATACGAAGGGCGGTCTTGGCTATATTATTTTGTTCTACTTGTAACTCAATCGAAAATGTCATTTTTTTGATCGGCGGGAAAGGATTTTGTAGACTTATTCGTCCAGATTGCTTGGAAAGACCTTTTAACATTTATTACAAATACAAAGGAAGTCTTGAAAAAAATGGTCACTGTGGGCTCCTGATACTAATAGTGTTATCTTTTCCAAATATTTTTTTTTCGAATTTCTTTTAAGTCCTTTTTTAAACTTTGTTTTCTTTTTTATCTGTTTCTTCACCCTATTCTCACCTCCTAATCCCACAGTCACAACCCTTCCGTTTCTTTCTTTGCACCTTTTTCAATTTCTTTTCTTTTCCTTTTCCGTTAAGCACTGCAACCCTCATGCTAACAAGATCCTGTCGCAGTGTTGAGTTAAGACGTATATGACTTAATGGGCCGAAACATCTTATCCCATTCTTGCCTCCTTTCTTCATGCCTTCTTGCCTTCTCTATCTAATGCGCCTTCGACGCCTCGACATTCAAGATCTACCTGGATGCTTCAGTCGGCTTATTGAGATACTCCTATATTTCGGGCGCATTTTTGCGAGGCTTTTCGACTGAATTGTATCCCTCTAGTTAGTACCTGCCGCTTGTTCGATGTATGTACATTGCCTTCAAGAAGACCGTTCGAGTAGTTCTTCATTTTCTCGCGAATGCCCTCATTGAGATGCGTTGACCACTGGCTGTTAGGCGAGCAATTTGTTGTGCCTCTTCCATTTTCAGTTGCGTGATCGCTGTGGTAAAAGATGAGGTTTTATCAGCATTAAAATGAGTTATTAATGTCATTTTAAAGTATAGGAATTAGAAACATTTCGATTAGCGCTTTCGTTTCGACCGATTATCTTGTTGTGACTTCATAAAATACGTAAATCAAATTATTCTTAAACTTAACAGACATTACGATTTTCCCTAGGAACTTAAATAAATTTGAAGTCCTTCATCAGCGGCTTCTAATTTTAACGATTTGTAATACCTTCTACGTTTTGTGATAGAATTACAGGAGCCAGTAGCGAGTTTCAATGCATGTAACGCAACAAAAGGCCGAAAACTGACATGTATGGAAGTGCACACTCATGGCCAGGTATGCGTTTTTAATATACCCTCTCATTTATATAGATACACATGAAGACTCTCCACAGAAACATGGGTTTGTGTGTGTATAATGGGGGCTTCTTAATGTTCCTCACATATAACATGTATTTGTTGGTCTGTTTTTGTTCACAGGAAAACTGAAATGTTGGCTATTCAATAGCTCGTAGCTCTGTTTGAAACTTCTAAATTCAGCAGATCTCGAAAATAATCTCAGAAAAATGTATATTTGTTTTGCACTGTTTATTTTATCCTGCAAAAAGCAAATACTGGTATCGATTATTGATTTGACACCACTGTTCATATTAATATAATTTTGCTGGATAATTTTAAATTAAGGGGTATACTAAAGTAGAAATAGGCTAATTTGATAATCAATTATCAAAGTTGAAAACCAAAGCCCCTATGTATTTGCTGATTGTGAAAGGCGGAGGAGACGAAAGCACGCGGGAAATAGCCCAAGTGGTAGCAGTGCAAACAGCAATTACTGGCTGGAAAACCTTTCGATGATTGGTTTTTTTTTCGAGAGCTGCTTACAAGTAAGCTGTTGGTGCAGGCAGTAAATTTTGAAACTGCAAGTCAATAATTCCGCCCAATTTGCGATAATTATGGCATGATTTTTGTACCATTCGTTGTCTCTGTTAGCTAAAAGTCACTTCCCTTTCTTTTCCCGTGGTAAGTGTATGTTCTGCAGACAGTTTACTGTGAGCTGGCAAAAAATTTTCCTAAAACAATGCTCATTTTTAGTTCATTGGCTGTGTGGACGATGGAAGCGCAGTTCGACTCTTCGATATCCGAGGTAATCAGTTAAGCGAGCTTCATCAGGATGAATGGCTGCCTGGTGGCCGCACCGGAAATCTGGTCTCAATGCGCTTTCATCAGTTGCTTGTCTCGTTTGCTCTTTCCACTCAGGCTCACACTATCACTGTCTATCGAATGCCGGATTTGTAACAGTTTTTAATAATTTTTATGCGTTTTGTAGTAAGCATTCATTCTGAAGCTCGAATCGACAGTTCGAATGTGCCCCCGAAAATTTCTGATTCCTCGATACGGTTCCTCGATACGGTTCGGTGGCCGACTTTATTGGTGCATGTAGAAGAGTCAAAACCATTTCCATTTTTCATACTAGCAAAGATAGAAATAAAGATGAAATAAGGAAATAAAGGATATAAGGATATAAAGGATATAAAAGAAAAAAGGATATAAGTAGTAATAATAATAAATAACTCGAAATAGCAGAACACTGAAACTTGTAGCAGCAATAAGTAATTGCTGATGGGGATGTGGTTTTCCGGGACACTTTGGAATGCTTCTATTTACTGTTGAGAGTGACCGTGTCTGCTATTGGGAATACAAAGAACTTTAACTGTAAATCGATGCACTGTTGTTTAATTATCGACGTTGGATCTGCCATCTTTCTCAAGTTGGTAAAATTTTGCGGTAGCTGAACGACTCGAAAAGGAAAGAAGATATCTCAAATACAAGAACATTATGCTTTTTGAGATTCTGACAATATAACAGGAATGCTAGAATCTCAAAAATCATGCTGTTTTGACCACTAATCTGTAGAGAATTAACATTAATCAGAAAACAGATCACCAACAGAAATGAAACTGAAGGAATTCAGGGGAAATTTTCGGAGTTTAATATCATACTTCAAGCAAAATTGTTAATTTTTTGCTTTACAAAATCGATATCAAAAAATTTAACAAAAGATGTCAATGTCAGTCAGTATTAATGTGC